TTTAGAATAAACTATTCTCGAAACTGGGAATGTATAGATCAATGTAAAGCTGTATAAACAGAAACTGAATCATTGCATGGAACCTTGCGTTTCTTGTTTTTATCTTACCTATTGGATGGAATATGTGTAAAAATTTTCATTATGAATAGGTATATTTCAAAGGCTACTCAGCGACCAAGAATATTATTGACCGACAATATACAGAGCGGGGGCAGCTGTAGTGTCAACTATTTCTAGTAAGCGACATATTGAGGCTTGTTCATCATCTTTTTATGATTTAACGGTAGTGCTCAGTAAACTGGAACTGCTCCATTCAGTTTTAGACCACATTTTCCGTGAATGGAAACCGTGAAAGGAAAATGCACAGGGGTATATTTCAGAAAAGGCTGATGCAACTGAGAAACCAACTGCACCGCTTTAAAGTAGACTAAGCTGATCCTTTCAGTTTTGGAGGAAATTTTTCTTGTCGGAGGATAGTGGCAGCCGAGAAGGTTGTTGTAATTATTACAACAATAGAAAAAGCAAATTTCACCGTACGACCTACTAGGGAAGACAAACACTATATAGAGTATGGAATTAAAGTTTCTTGAAAATACTTCGAAAAACACATACAAAATGCCTTGATAAGCTACGAGGGAAGACGAAGCATCGGTCGTTTCTTCCTAATCAAGCAAAGCCATTCGCCGAAATATTAAACAGTGACAAGAAGAACATAAATCACAAGCGCCAACTAGCCTACGTAGCAGGCGTTGAAAGGGGTAGGGATAGGGAGAAAGAGAAAAAAGGAGGGGGGTTTAGCGTTTTACTCCCTCCCCCCTTCCCACTTCTTTTTGCGCATGCCACGCAGGCTAGCAACAACTAGCAGTAAATACGGGCAAGGGACTCGTTTCATTCAATCCAGGTACCAGTATAGTTTCAGCTCTCGTTCTGCAAAACCAGCTGGTGGCCTCAAAACAACTTCATAAAGAAGGTTTCAACTTTGCACGAGTTTGCTGTACGCTGAACAAGGGAATTAGTTTGCAACTGCACTTGAGATTCACGTAGGCTACGGCTTCAGTAAAAATTCTTATTACTCACATTTCCCGCGATTTTTTAGCTCCAGAGTAGAGTAAAATCCTAGATTGTTTCCCCTGAAAGTGACTGTAAAAAAATGACTGTTTCTAATAAAATAAAAACCTGTTTTTAATAAAACAATTATTACACTTGCGCTTGAAGGAAATAAGATAGTTATAGCCAACCGTATCCAACAAGCGCGAATGGAATAATTGTGTATTATATCTTTATTGTCTTCTCGCAAGAGAAGAGAGCAGGCGGTAGCTTACCTGTTTTGGCAATAGTGCAGAACTCAAGTGTGTGAAGAACATATAACAGATTTACTGACTAAAAATTATAAAAGAATACGCCAAAATATTCCTCTATGAATGTTTAATAAAGACCTTTTGAGAAATACCTGTATAAAAAAAAAAAAAGAAAAGAAAATAGAAAAACACACAAACGCATCCGTTCACGCCTTGAGAATGAATTTATTTTAAATGAATGATAAAACCATTAATAAATAATTTAGCTGGTTATGTAGATCTCGAAAAATGTTACTTGTCGTGAAATAAACACCATCAGAGATCAGAATAATACTTTTTTTTACGCGAGGGGCATTTCAATGACTGTTTAATGCAAAAGCTTTAATTCGATTTAATTTATTACACTCATCTAAATGTTGAACTTTAGACACTGGACTGGGAGAAAATCATGAAGTAAGCTTTCGACAGCTCGTTATTAAAGAGTTTATGCATCAGTCAATTCCACCTGCGCCTAGGCCCCCCCCGGGCTGACCCCCGGGAATTAGCATTTTTTTTGCCTTGGATGGCAAATTCCCGGGGGTGGGGACTCTTGAGCTGGCAAATCCCCCGGGGTGGGGAAGAAAAAAGAGAGCAAATGCCCCGTCCTCCGTCAACAGTGTAACATTTTTCATTGATCGCACACTCCATAGTGCCATTTTAAAGTGCGATTTTTTGTTTCAATTAAAGTCTTGCTTTGCAATAGCGCTAGGATTCTAATTAAGACTTCACGCCGCGACGACATGCACCAGTTTATGGTTTTAGTATCGATATCAAATTATTGACATTAAAATTAATAGAGCGCTATAAAGTTATATGTTATGAATAGATTTATAAATACGAAAGGGTGTTCTTCAAATAACAACAACAGAAATTTGATTCAATAACCAAAAAACGTTGATTCACATCGATAGCTCCAATTTCGCTATGTAATTCTGGCTTGATAAGCAATGAAGAAATGCATACATACATGTAAAATCGAGAAAATGCCTTTATAACCCTCTACAATTTATTCATGTCCTTGACAGATGAGCCAATCTGCTTTTTTTTCAGTAAAACCTTCTGTGTAGTTATATTCTGATAGGAAACCGCGTGCGTGTCAAAAGCTCGCGAATGGCCCGGGGGTTGGCAAATGCCCGGCCCCCGGGCAGTGCAAAATTTGCAAATGCCCCACCCCCGGGACTGTCAAGGCGGGCAAATGCCCCGCAGTAGCCCGGGGGGGGGGCTGGGCGCAGGTGGAATTGACTGATGCATTAAGCAGCGACGTTTTTGAGCGACGCACGTCAACCGGAAGTGGACTTTTTGCACACTTGAGCTGTGATTTTGAACAAATTTTCGGGCAAGTCGTCTCTATAAGAGTAAAGACACTTAGCCATACAAATTTGGTGGCGTCAAGGCATATTAAAAAAGAAAAAAGCTCACTTCCGGTTGACATACGTCGCTCAAAAACGTTGCTGCTTAAGCTCCCTATTACTCCGCTGATCACACTAACTACCTGAATATTAGACTGGGTCAAGCCGCTCCATTCCTGTAAAGACTGGGACGCCCAGTTCGAATTTTATTGAACAGTCCCGACCTTCAGTGCCGCAAACTCGTCGAGTTAAAAACGCCGTGTTAAAGAGATGTCTTGATGCCTCTAATAGCGGAGCTCCACGCGCGGCGCGAAGTGCCACGCGTGCGTGGCGGAGCCCTATAGCTAAGTAAATCTATCCATCCCAGAAAATTGGGTAATCACGTGACCGTACACCGAGCGACTGAGCGTCCGTCCGCACCACACGGAAACCAATGTTTACTCTCACACTTTCTAGCTAGTTTGGGAGCCCAGAGAAAACTAACTGCACATCATTGTTGTAATCAATTGACAGCTATCAAAACAGGACATCCGCTGACCAGTATCACCTGACTGTACCGTACAGGTGGATTGTTTTTAAACAACAAAGAAAATCGAGATTGAAACAGGCAGCGACATCAACTTTTCACGGTCATTTTCCCCAAAGTCTTTTAATAAAATACGTACTGTCTGTCGAATAGACTTCTAGTATATATTTTGTTGCCCAGCAGCTAGAGTTGCTCTCGGTTATGTTCGAGCAACACTTTTGCTTATATTTGGTATTTTATAACTCTCGCGTGCATCAACAACTCGATGACAGCTCCCTGTTCGTTTATATGATTTCTTAATCAAGGGGATGAGTTTTAAGCCTATTTCCCCAAAGTACCTACCGCTACTTAAAGTACCTACTCTTTCGTTACAGGAAATCTGCTGAGATATACAGTAGGCAACGCGCGTGAGCCTTTGAAAGAAGCCACGTCTAATTTGACCGCAATATAATCCGGAGTGATGAATGTACTTTGCTTTTTCTTCATTCCATTTACTTGCTTTCTGTCGGCAAATGGGTCACGTTAATCTTTCAGTTGTGAAGTTCACCAATTACTGACACCAAATATGATTCTCAAATGTGTGGAAATTGGGTAAAGCTTCTTGCCTGCGAGGATGTTGTCTTTGGGAATGGCTTTTGTTTTATGAAGGAGTGAATAATCATTTTCAGATCTTAACACACGACCATTATATCGCTGAAGATACGGCGATGACAACCGAGGCATAGAAACAATAAACACTTGGCTCTATTCTTAACTGGTCTGCTCAACTGATCATGACACCCAAAATGACACCGGTTGTATTAACAATCTTGTGTGTAATGGAGTGAAATAACAAACGCCGCTATCCTGAATGCAGGTACCCTCCCCTCTACACTAAGAACCTCGTCACCAGGGCCTTTTCCTTCTTCAAAAATGGACAATGAAAAAACCCTGGGGACGAGATAACCGTTTAAACCCTAATATCAAAATTGAGATTCTCATTCAGACTAGCCTATGCTTTTTCAATAGAAGTAGTGGGGAGAATTTGTTGAAATATCAATTAGACTCATCTTCCTTGATCATGCATTCAATTCTCATGTCCACACTGTTTTACAAAGCATTGAAGGATATTACAAGGAGAAATTTGATGCTGACCACTCTTAGGGCATAAAGGGTTAACTCAGATGGGGGAGTCGATTGACGTAGTGTGTTAATTTAATGGAAACAGGCGACAAAAGCCACACAACAGATTGAATGAACTTTTAATTTTTATTTCAAGATAACCCATCTAAAACTTACAGCAACGGCAAGAATACATTTTTTCATTTAAAACTAAATTAGAAAATTCTTTTTCTTTAGAGGTAAGATCTTTTAACTTATTGATGGTGATGATATCGTTGCTTTTCCTGAAACAAAAAAATATATATTTGAATTTTTAAAAGGGCAATCATTCACAATTTCATTGCTATATGGCCTGGATTGCGATCACCAGATTTGCCTCAATATGAATTCATTCAATCAAAGGCTCTTGATCAGATTGAGCTGTCAATTTACGAAATAACGCCTGTCAAAAGAACTATTTAAATTTGATCTAATTTGTGAATGGCAATTCCTATGTTTCCCTTCATTTCGGTTTGCTAAATCGAGGTCCCGGTGACAAGCTTATAGTAGCCCGTGAACAGGCCCTCTATGGGTTAAATATAGGCCGAGACAGCGAGAGAAAAATTAAAAGGGAGTAGGTACTTGGGGATGCTGACCTTTCTCCCAGTTTCTCGCTCGGTTCCTTCCGTCCGCCCGTTTGTCAAGTTCCTATTTAGCCTTGTCCCAAGTTAAGCTGATGACCTCGCAGGACTAATGTATGACTTCAATAATGTTACGCTCGAATCTGCCATCGATCGATTTGAACACATATACCGGCGTTCTTTTTGCCCGCAAACAGTTAAATAACTATTACAGAAATTAACGAATAAGAAGAGAGTGGAGATATGACTACTTATTAAGAAATTGAAAAGATTGAATACTAATAATTTGACTGGGGCATTTCTGTCTTCTTTCATTTTCTTGGTTCGTTAAACATTTCGTTTAGTGCCAGCTCAAAAGTCTAACTCTTGGCAAAAGCGATACTGAGAATGGAAATAACGCAAATTAATTACGTGTCAAGCCTGAAAGGACTTACCATCATGAGTCGGCGGTTACTTTCTCGCTTTCTTCCCATTTCATCCGGCGGAAGATACGGGGGTCTATCTTCATCTGCATTGCGTACTTTTTCCTTGAAAAAAAGTTACGATTCTTTTAATAGTGTTACGCACTAACACAACAAGCCACTAAGATTTTTGCCTCATTATCTTTACCCCGCAACAAGCTGTGTTACTGGACAAAGAAAATGTACCAGATTGCTCTCAAAATGACATCCGTAACTGAGAAATGAGACTTACAAAAGTAGATCCTTACAAAGTCAGAAAATTTATGGCTTTGGAAAAAACCTACGTCCTTAAGTCTAAAAGTCTATTTACCTGAAGTATGTCCTCAGCGTTCCTTTTTCGCCCAAATTCAGGCGGTGGAATATATTGCGCGTCTGACAGTACAACCAAGCCAAAGCTAAGGATTAAACACAAAAACCATGATTGACTCTCCATGACTTATAATGAATCAACAATAAACAAGCCGAGTCATATGCCTCAACAGTGAGTTGCTTTCTACTAATGGGAGGTCTTTATTTATAGTGAAATTCATTGCGTGATCTAAACAAAATAGCCACACACCTGCTCATCTCTTTCACCTAAAGTGGGGTTTCTTTTCGGGGCGATTTCCTGTATATTCACCATTAAGACATAGTTGATATCTTTGTTAGGTGAAATTGTATCTGTTGTTTCCACGAGGGGATGGCTTTGTGCGATTAAATTCCTAATTCCACGATTTCCGACGCGTTCCATCGTTGAAATCATCAGGAAAACGGGATTAAATCTTCACTGATGACCTTCCTTTTTTGGTTCATTCCCTCTAGTTCTCTTTTATAGTTTTCACATTTTACCGCAATATGAAAGAAACTATATCACGCACCTCTGTCGCAGTTATTAAAACAGCTAGTTAGATAGGATATAAGATAATTATTGAGCTCGACGCTCCTAAAAAAAAAAATGGTCACAATTAACTTTTGATAAATATTCAACGACGCATTTTAATAAAGATGAGATGTTTTCCGAGCCACATTTTTTTTTTTTGGAATCGGGAAGGAATTAGAACTTATTTTATCTCGAAGGGTGGACCATGCACTTGTGAAAAGAGAAATTTAGGATAACAAAGGGTAGCCGTAGAGAAGAGGCTTTATGCAAGCTGTTGGAAATTGCTTTTCAGACTTAAGTGTTTCGAGAAAATAAGAAGGGTCACCATTAATCGATGATCTAAGTAATGGATGATCAGAAGAGATAAGGAAAAAAACAGGCCACTAGGTAATTTGGACAGCTGAGTTAACTAAAGGGTATATGCTTATTTTTGGGGGGGAATCGGGAAAGAATTAGAACTTCTTTTATCTCGAAGGGTGGACCATGTAGTTGTGAATAGATAACCAAGGGCGAGGGAAATTCTCCTCGACGTGTAAGTCTCTTTCTAGAACTGAAGAGAAACTTTAGAATAACAAAGGGTGGCCGTAGAGAAGAGGCTTTATGCAAGCTGTTGGAAATTGCTTATCAAATTTAGGTGTTTCGAGAAAATAAGGAGGGTCACCATTAATCGATGATCTAAGTAATGGATGATCAGAATAGATAAGGAAAAAAACAGGCCACTATGTAATTTGGACAGCTGAGTTAACTTAAAGGTACACTTGGGCCGTAAAGGAGCATTTTTTTAAATCAATTTTCCACCGACCACACTGTAATTTAGTCGTTTATTGAAACTATTACGTCCTCAATTAATTGTTCACTCGATTGGCGTCAAATTTTCCAATATAAACTTGTTAAAACCGTGATTAAGCACTTTTTAAACCTTTACGCACCACCATAGCTGTTTATCATGTCGCTTGTAAAACCGAAACATTACCGAAGAGAAAAGCTTTTTTAAAAAAATGGCTCGTAAGCTCCTTCTTTAAGAGAAAGAAAAACGGAGGTTGAAACTGAAAAAAAAAAAATTAAGACAATAAAAGAAAATGGCCATGAAGCTCTGTTCAATATTTACAGTAGATAAGGATATATACAGCGTCCTAATTAAATTTTTAATTGTAGGAAAAACTAAAACAACTTTATTTGTTTATTTTTTTCCTCCATTTATTTATTTTACAAGCCATTTATATTGTATTACAAGATCTGAAGATGAAGATGCTATTTGAAGTATTAAATGTCAGGTTACAAGAATAATTGCAGAGGGCAGGATATAGTTAAACTAATTACTTGCCCTTTGAATAAATTACAGTTTTATTTAGGTTAAAAGAGACAAAAAAAGTGAAAAGTATAAACTTTATAAACTATGAAAATTACATAAAAGAGAGGAAAAAAGAAAAGCACACACACATAAAAAAGATAACATTTGAGAGTCGGTGTGGCGATGATTAATACTGAGCAAGATATATATAATAGTTGAAAAGTGCTCTTTTAAACAATTTTTAAGCTGTCTTTTCACGTATAGATAAAGGAATATTATTCCAATAAAAGCATCCTATAACTGTTGAACAGAATTTTCTTATATTTATACTAAAGCTACTGGTATTTAGCTGTTGCAGGGATGCACTTCTTGTGTCATAATTATGTTGCTCAGATGCCAAGGACAGCGTGAAATTAGACGGTTTTTATCTACAAAGTGATCATAAATCAGTTAGCAAGTATTTAGCTTAATAATGTCAGGAAGCTTAATTAGGCCAAGGTTTACATAATGAGGCGTAATATGGTCACGTAGAGGAACGTTTTTAATTTCTCTTACAACTTTGTTTTGTAGCTTTACCAATTGTGATACTGGAGCTTCGTAAATATATTACCCCTACAGAATGCAACCGTACAAGTGCATAGATACCAAAGACTGGGTTGTTAAATGTCGTTTTAATTTTGCAATGATATTTACACTTTTGCTGATTTTACTACTGATATGGTCAATATGATCACGCCAAGACAAAAAGCAATCAATAACTAATACTAAGTATTTAATGTTGTAAAACAACTTTCCACTGACCACACTTTAATTTAGTCGTTTATTGAAATTATCACGTCCTAAATGCATTGTTCACTCGATTGGCGTCAAATTTGCCAACAGAAACTTTTTAAGACCGTTATTAAGCACTTTTTAAATCTTTACGCACCACCACAGCTGTTTATCATGGATATATCGCTGGCAAAACCGAAATATTACCGAAGGGAAAAGCTTTTTAAAAAAATGGCTCGTAAGCTCCTTCTGTAAGAGAAAGAAAAACGGAGCTTGAAAATGAAAAATAATAATAATAGTAAGACAATAACAGAAAATGACCATGAAGCACTGTTCAATATTTACAGTAGATAAGGATATATACAGGGTCCTAAGTAAATTTTTAATTGTGGGAAAAACTAAAACAACTTTCCACTGACCACAGTCTAATTTAGTCGTTTATTGAAACTATTACGTCCTAAATTCATTGTTCCGACTCGATTGGCGTCAAATTTGCCAACAGAAACTTTTTAAGACCGTTATTGAGCACTTTTTAAATCTTTACGCACCACCATAGCTGTTTATCATGTCGCTTGCAAAACCGAAATATTACCGAGGGGAAAAGCTTTTTTAAAAAAATGGCTCGTAAGCTCCCTCTGTAAGAGAAAGAAAAACAGAGGTTGAAAATGAAAAAAAAAAATAAAAAATAAGACAATAAAAGAAAATGGCCATGAAGCACTGTTCAATATTTCATATTAAACTCATTGCTCACAAATGAGGACATTTGCTCTTCAGTGATCATTACATGGATGGTATGCTACAGCGCGTGCGCAAAGCTATTGTGTTTCACCATCACAAACAATCTCGTTCCCAGAGTCCGCGTGCTTTGTCCAGCGGAACGGGCAACAGGGACCTCTGAGATAATCAGTTTCAACTCGAGTTTTCATTGGTTGACCATTTGAGCATGAGCAGTAGAACCAGGAGTCAAAAGGTAAATAAAAATGGAGGGAAAGACAGCGCCGACCGGGTTTTCAAGTTGTTATTAAGCGTGGTAAATCAAATATTTTGCTCTTGAACGCCAATCTGAGGTCTAGCAAAGCGTTTAAAGGAAGGGGAGTTTGCTTATTCTGCCTAAACGCAAGCGATATCGGCTTCAGCAACAAGGTACACAAGATAACACTTTAGCTCAATCAAATCCGCCTGCGGAAACAAAAATTTACATGAAATTAAGGAGTCCTCGATAAAGGACTGTCCGGTCTATGTGATTGTAACCTTTGTAACTGATTAAATAAAGCAAGCTGATGTGAAACGTTTTTCGTACACTTTGCTCTGACTACTGGTGAAGAAACGTTAGCGAGATGCCCATTTCAAAGTGGTTATATAAATATTCCAACGTTTGGCAAAGAATTGAGAAACGTGGACTTGAAATAGAGAAGAGTGAGTTGGTTTGTTATTTTCTATTTCATTTTGTTAACCTCTTCTTGTAGTGGAAATGATTAACCATAGCAAAAAGTTGGCATTGTTTAGAAATATTCGCTTTCAGTTATTTAGTTTTTAAAAGAGAAGTATTATTACAAACATACTGTGGAGTTTATAATGTTTCAAGTTAATTAGTATTTTCAGTCCAATGAAAGTTCAGCTATCTTCTGAAGCAATACAAGCTGCAGTAAACCTTTGCAAGAAGTGTGCTTCTGATAAAATATTGGGAACACATATGGTTCTACAGTTTTGCATCCTTTACAGAGTCACGATATGGACACTGGTGACTTTTTGTCCTGATAATGTCATATATTATTTTGTTAACTTGAATTTCTAGAAAGTTTCCCCCACCCCCACCCCATATCACATAGCCTTCCCTTATTTAGCGGCTGATTACTAGGGTGGACAAAATTGTCAGCAAATTCACCTGCGACAGAACCTCAATTGAGTGAACAACCTGTAGCGGTCTCTTGTCCGTCTCTTGAGAGTGGCCACTTGAAAAAAGTTCCCCTGTCCCGGGGTTCAACATAAAAGTTAAAGTAAAGAAATATTAGTAGGCAGCAATAGGCCAGATCATAAGAGGGTTGTCCAATAAATGACTAGATTCCACTGGAAACATCAATGGATTCCACTGGACTCCTCATGTTTTATTCGTGGGTGACTTAAATTATCAATTATGTTGTGCAGAATTCTTGTCTCAGATCATAACTTAAAGTACGAGGTATATAATTATTATTAGATGTGTAGGGTGCTTGTCTAGGTTCATGGCATAAAGAATGAGGTATTTCTCAAGTAGGCTTCTGGTAAGTCAGGTGGACTGACTGATTGTCGCTGTTGACAAAACTAGTGGAGTAGATTTTAGGCATGTGGATGGTACTTCACACAAATTTTCTTGGTTTTATGTCAATTGTTTTTGCCAGTCACCAACTTCTGGAAAATCCTAGCTTTTCCAGTTACTGCTATTTACAGTTTACTTGGTAAGAGGGATTTCGCCTTTCTATTTTTTGATAAAAATTTTAAATACATCTGGCAATATGTTCTTAGACAAGGATAT